ATCTATCTATCTATCTATCTATCTATCTATCTATCATCTAGTCTATCTATCTATCTATCATCTAGTCTGTCTTATCTATCAGTTTCTCTTATCTGTCTGTCATCTATCTATCTATCTATCTATCTATCTATCTATCTATCTATCATCTAGTCTATCTATCTATCTATCATCTAGTCTGTCTTAGCTATCTATCTGTTTCTCTGATCTGTCTGTCATCTATCTATCTATCTATCTATCTATCTATCTATCTATCTATCTATCATCTAGTCTATCTATCTATTTCTCTTATCTGTCTGTCATCTATCTATCTATCTATCTATCTATCTATCTATCTATCTATCTATCTATCTATCTATGTAAAATGTACAAGTGAAATCTCTTTCCACAGATGTAGTCAAGTTGATTTCTGTGTATTCCATCTGGTGAGGTCTATGTGTATAGTCCCCTTTCACATTGTTTAAAAAATATATTTGCAATGAATAAGTCATTGGTTTTGCAAAATCCCATCATGCAATCTCCAGCATCATTTCAGTCACCATGGCCATATATTCTAACTACTGATCCTTTTTCTTTGTTTCCAACGTTTACATTCCAATCACCAGTAATTATCAATAAATCTTGATTGCATGTTTGATTGATTTCAGACTGAAGAAGTTGATAGAAGTTTTCAATTTCCTCACCACTGGCTTTAATGGTTGGTGCATAATTTTAAATAATAGTGGTATGAACTGGTTTTCCTTGTAGGGTATGGATATTACCCTATCACAGACAGCGTCGTACGTCAATCTACATCTTGAAATGTTCTTTTTGATGATGAATGTGACTCCCTTCCTCTTCAGTTTGTCATTCCCAGCATAGTAAAACACATGACTGTCTGATTCAAATGGCCGATAGAAGTCCATTTCAGTTCACTAATGCCTGGGATATCGATCTTTATGTGTTCCATTTAATTTACAACTTCCAGTTTTCCTAGGTTCATACTTTGTACAATTATTAATGGATGTTTACAGCTGTTTCTCCTCATTTTGAGTTGTGCCCCATCAGCCAATGAAGGTGCCAACAGCTTTACTCTTTTCACGTCATAGTTATGTCTACTCCGAGGAGGCAGCTCTTCCCCAATCGTAGTTTACATGCCCTACAACCTGAGGGGCTCCTCTTCCCACACTGTATCTGACGATCTGACGATTCATAAGGTTTTCAGTGACTACATTTAGAAGTAGGCTGTCTCTCCTTCTTCCTAGTCTGTCTTCATCTGGAAGCTCAGCTGAAACCTGTCCACCGTGGGTGACCCTGCTGGGATTTCAGATACAGGTGGCATAGTGTCCAGTATCATAGCAACATGCAAGCCACCACAGTAGGACAAACTGACAGATTGGTGGGTCTGACTCATAGTGACTCTGAAGGGTTTCTGAGGCTAGAAATCTTTACGGGAGTAGAAAGCTTCATCTTTCTCCTGCAGAGTGGCTGGTGGGTTTGAACTGCCAACCTTGAGGCAATCCAGTGCTTTCCCTACAGTGCCCCCAGAGCGTCTCTTATCTATAGATCTCTGTGTCTCTTCTCTGTCATCTGTCTATTATCTATTTATCATCTATCCATCCATCTAGTTAATCTATGTATCATCTAGCTAGCTGCCTATCATCTGTTCATCATCCATGTAAAATGTGCACACAAAATCAAGTGGGAGAGAGGACTGTGAGCACCCTCTCTTTACTGATGGGGGAGTGAGACTCCTACCTCCATCCACCTCCATCCAGTGCTGACCCCACTTGGGATGTGAGTGGAGAAAGGAGGGGAAGGGGCTGCCCTACTGTGCTCTGTTTTCAGAAAAGTCCAGTCAACACTGGGCACCTCTGGACTTTCACTGGGCCCTGGGATGGGGCACATACTGAGGTTTCTCAAGGTAGCTGGAGAAAATGAACCAAGAATGTTGTCAAGAGCCCTTAAGGGGAGGGGAAGTCTGGAGCTCCCGTACCCCCCAAGTTTGTGCAACCCAGAGGGCACTGTGCTGTCTCAGAGCTGTGTGAGTATGTGTGGGTGCCTTCATCGGGCAGCTTCTCCTGCAGGGCCAGCTTGTCACCTACTGATGTCCCCTCTCCTTGCAGGCCCCCACCCTGTAAAGATGGCGCTGAGCTTAGAGTCAGCTGGTAGGTTCCCTGGACTGGCTCCGACAGGCAGCGTTGAACCTGAGCTGCCCATCGACCCCTACGTGTCCCTCAACAGCTCGTGGGCAAGCCCAACAGAGGCCAGCTCCCTGGAGGACCTGGTGGCCACAGGCACGCTCGGGGTGCTGCTCTCGGCTATGGGCGTAGTGGGCGTGGTCGGCAACGCGTACACTCTGGTGGTCATGTGCCGCTGTCTGCGTGCCTCAGCGCCCCTGCACGTCTATGTCGTCAACCTGGCGCTGGCCGACCTGCTCTACCTGCTCAGCATCCCCTTCATCGTGGGCACCTACGTCACCAAGGACTGGCACTTCGGCGATGTGGGCTGCCGCGTCCTCTTCAGCCTGGACTTCCTGACCATGCACGCCAGCATCTTCACGTTGACCGTCATGAGCAGCGAGCGCTACGCCGCCGTGCTGAGGCCGCTGGACACGGTGCGGCGTTCCAAGGGCTACCGCAAGCTCCTGGTGCTGGGCACCTGGCTACTGGCGCTGCTGCTGACTCTGCCCATGGTACTGGGCATCCGGCTGGTGCGCAGGGGCCCCAAGAGCCTCTGCTTGCCCACCTGGGGCCACCGCGCCCACCGCACCTACCTGACGCTGCTCTTCGCCACCAGCATTGTGGGCCCCGGTGTGGTCATCGGGCTGCTCTATGCCCGCCTGGCTCGCGCCTACTGGCGGTCCCAGAGGGTCTCCTTCGGGCAGACTCGGCGGCTGCCCAGCCCCCGGGTGCTCTACCTCATCCTCAGCATCGTGCTACTCTTCTGGGCCTGCTTCCTGCCTTTCTGGCTGTGGCAGCTGCTAGGTCAGTACTGCCCAGTTCTGCCGCTCAGCCCCGGGACCGCGCGCCTCATCAACTACCTGACCACCTGCCTCACCTACGCCAACAGCTGCGTCAACCCCTTTCTCTACACGCTGTTCACCAAGAACTACCGGGAGCACCTGCGGGCTCACCAGCGCTCCGTCAGCAGCCGGTTGGCGCGCAGCTTCCCACGTTCACTCGGCCGCTTCCGCCACGCCTGGGGCCGCTCTCAGTCCGCCAGCAACCAGCAGGCCACCGCGATCACCATGGTCTCCCGGGCCGCTCCGGGGCGGCCTGTGCCGGAGGGTCCTATACTCTCCAGATGACTAGGGGTCCCGGCAGAGAGGACCCCAGAGAACAGGCCCCTCCTGGAGCCCCCTGCTGTCCAAATGACCAGCCCACCCTCTTCCTCAGTTGTCTCCTGGAGAATCCCTGCTCTCTTTTTCCTCTTGTTCATTTCAGCCACATCAAATGTCTTCCCCACAGTGAACAGAACCACCCCACCCTCTGCCCACCCACAAGGTGGTTTGGGTGAGGCTCGGGACTACTTATGAAGACCCCCTTGCATAGTGTTATCAGCAGAAGACACCAGAGCCGGACATATGATCTCTGACCAGGTCAGGCTGCCCCCTGCCCATACAGGACCCACCCCTCCACTGGGGACAAGCTCCTCAGCTCCTCTCTGCTCCTCCCCACCCCCTGGCTTCTGTGTGGTTCCTGGAACCTTGGACTCTAGACAATAAATCCATCAGCTCTGTGGTCTGAGTGAGGCTTCAACACTGGGATATGGGATGTGTGAGGGGTGAGAGGAGGGGTCCATTCCAGCAGGCCCCTCCCCTAAACACGCCCGCAGCACTGGAATTGTTGTGTCTGGCCTATGGGGCCGGAAATCCTGTGGAGCAGCTGGGAGTGAGGGACGCATTATCCGGGATGGTGTTTGGTGCCCAAACTGAAGGAAGAAGGCAGAATTCTCTCATTCGCTTCTGGGGCCCTCGTTTTCCAGACATGCTGTCCATCCAAGTAGGGTGCTCTGATGGGGTAGACCCCAACTCAAGGCATGGAGATTGATCACGAACCTCCCGTGGGCATGTCTGAGCTGGACTTCTGGGTCACTGAAGTCCCTAGGCCCTGCCCACACTGTAGAGAAGGCTCTGACCCCTGGGAGGCACTTGCCAGCCCTTCTGATTGCCTGGAGGGTCCAGCCGTGTGACCACAATAGCTGCAGTTTTGTGCTGAGGGGCTTTCTGGAGACCTGACCACCACCATAAGCCTGCGTCAAAGCTCAAACTCTGAGGGGCTCTGTATTGGAGACAGATGCCCACAGCTTCCAGGGTCCAGGGGGCAGGAGGGGTGTGGGGCAAGAGGCATGGTTCCCCTTGCTGAGCTGAGCTGGAGGGGTCTTTGTTGAGGGACCATCAGAGCCTGGGACCCAGCTGTTATCAAGGTCCCAGTGTTCAGCTTTGGGTGGTGTCTTAGGTTGAGTCCTTGAGAGGAGGAAAACCAGTGACATACACACACATTATATAAATATGTCGAGAGATTTGTTTCAAGAAAATGGCTCATGCCATCTTGGATGCTGCCAAGCCCCAAATCTGTGGAACATCAGGCTGCTGGTTCGCATCCTGAGAAGTGATAGAGAAAGCTGTGTCCAAATACCTGTATGTACTGGATGCAGGCCACACGCCCAAGGAAATGGACTTTTCACTTCAGAGCTAAAATGGAAGATGATGACATTTTAGTACATTATTGATTAGCAATCTCACCAATACCTGCCCAGCCACTGAGAATCAGCCTAGACAACTTGACACTTTAACCATCACGGGGTGCTCTAGGGAGGTAGCCCCCAAACTTGGAAATGGGGACCCTTAAAACCAGCAGGGGGAGAATACATATGCTAGCATGTGAGCCCCCTGGACCCGACCCAGAAGTCTCTGGTGGGGTCACTCCTGACACCCCACAAGTACATCTGTGGAATAGACCCACTGATGGTACTAGATGGACACACCAGTGACCGCAGCACAGATAGGAGCAAAGTGGGCCTTCCTTCCCAAGGTCCCGAGTTGCCAAAGCTCACGGCAGCAGCTGGTAACCCAGAAAGGCCACTGTCTGGGGAGAAGGGCTGGCCTCATGGACCTGAAGTCCAGTCACAGACAGAAAAACACCATAGTCCCTCTCCCTAACTGTTCACACATTCACATGTGCACACACCTTCATGCCCCTCCATACATGTACACTCACATATACACACACACTGCTCCCTCACCCACACTCCTCACACAACACATGCCCTCACACCCCTCTACACATGTACACACAGAGACACACAATACTCCCTCACCCACACTCCTCCACACATGTACACATGTACAGACACATGGCGCACACCTTTCCACACATGTACACATGCACCCACATGTATACACAGAGATATACAATGCTCCCTCACACACAACACACACCCTCATGCCCCTCCACACATGTACACTCACATATACTCACTCAGGCCAGGCTGTGTCCTGGGGGGGTCCCCTGTCTGCCGCTCCCATCCCACCCTCAGGTCAGAGTCTGGCCCCCCATAATCTGTGTCTGCTAAGGGCTCAGGGCAGCGCACCCCCGTCTGGCCAGGATTGAGGGCAGACTGAGCTGGGGTGAGGCTGGGTGGGCTTGGGTGGGAGAAGGGTCTGGATGGGCCAATGGGCAGAGATGCCAGGGGAGGGGTTGACAGTGTGTGCATGTGGGCAGAACCCCGCACAGCCTGAATACGTCCCTTCTGCACTGTTACTTCAGCATCGTTTTGTGAAGGTGCAGTGACCCCAGGGGAGGGGCTCCCTGAGCCCAGAGCCCCAGTCCCCACTTGGAGCCGCCTGGCAGCCTGTCTTCTGTCCTGGTGAACTGGCAAGTTCTGGGCACTTCAGATGAAAGGAACCACATAGCACATGACCTTCTGTGACTGTCTTCGTTCACCCCACCTGGTTGCCAGGTGCCTCCATACGGCTTCATTCCTCTGTAGGGCCGAACAATGCTCCTCTGGGTGAATGACCATACGTTTGTTTCTCCATTGGCCAGCTGATGGACACTGGGGCTGATTTTCACTGACCGGCTATTGTCAATACTGTGGTGTGCACATGTGTGAACCCTCAAGCAAGCTAATCTTACAATTGAAATGCTTTTTCAAATGCAGATGGCAATTTTCTCAGCATGCATATTAAACACAAGGAAATCAAAACAAATGCCAAAAGCCAGTAACCATACTGCTCAGAAGCTCTGATCAGAATGTAACCAAAGTGGAAACTGACAGCAACCAGTCTGGGCAACGGGGCTTTACTGTGCTTGGAACTTACACACTGACCATCAAGGGCATCAGGACAGAAGTCAGGAATGGAAAACGAGAAGACAGCCTTCAGGAGGGGACCCATTTTTCCTGAGAAGCAGACAACAGTCTGGCCAGCCCTTGCCCAGCAATGCAAGCGATTCAGAGACAAAGACGATGTCTGATTAATTACAAGGACTCACTGCTGGAAGGCACATTCGTGCCTAGATCCAAACCAACTGAATCAAGAGCCCGTCCACGATAAAACTAGACACAAATCATGGTGAAGACTCATGACGGCAATGATGGGCAGCAAGACTATTGGTGTGGCATTCTGGTCAGGCATGAGAATGTTCTCTGAAGCGAGAGGGACCTGGGCAGAGTGGTCCAGGTGCAGCGCCAGCTGGAGGTGGCTGACTCCCTGCAGGGCAGTGGAGAGGGAGCTGGAAGCCCGGCCGGCTTCAAAGCCAGGCTGGGCTCCCTGTTGGGTGGCAGTGTCTTGGACGAAACCTGGAGGGATGATGGATGGGCTGGCTCTGACCGCTGACCGGCAGCCACATTCCTCCCTGGCTGGCAGTCTGCTCCAGGCGTGGTCCAGACTTGGCTGAAGCAGTGGCTGCTGATCCCCTTTAGCCAGGGCTGCACCGGGCGCCGGGGTGGATGCCACGTCCCCAGGCTGTCCCGGGCCTAGCCCCAGAGCCCCAGGAGTATGGGCTGGCCTGTCCAGGCTGTACTCCGGGGGAAGAGGAGCACCTGCAGCCAGCAGGGGGAACCCGCAGATGCAAAGACCTGAGCTCTTTCCCTGCCCTGAAACTGTGCCTCAGTTTGCTCGTCTGTGTAATGGATATGCCCAACACACCTGGCACAGACCCAGAAGGCTGCAGGCTTCCTGGTCCTGGGAGAGCACCGAGAGAGCCTTTCTTCACACTGGGGGGTGGGGCATTATAAGGGACATAGGAGCCGTGTCCTCCTCATGTGGGGGGGACCCCCACCCACCCCACCAAACTGGCACAAAAGCCCAGGGTCCTGTGAGGAGCAGGTTTTTCCATCTGAATTCCAGACGGCAAAAGAACAGAAGTGAGGTCAACAGGCGGGTCCAGGCGCCTGCTCTGTCCAGCAGGCTGCTGCTGGTCCTCTCCTGGGGCAGGTCAGTCCTCAGAGAGAACACTGATCCCAACTGTCCTGCTGCCCTCCCTGCTGAGTCTCGGACACAGAGGTGGCCTGGATCCTCAGGCCAACCCAGTGGCCACCTCCTCCCTGGGGTCACCTCCATTGGTCACCTTATCTTCTTCTTTTGCAGGCTTCCTGGGTTTTGATGACAGCACCCTCTGGGATCTGCCCATGTCCCCTGCTCATGCTGAGGGCTCTTCCCTGGTTGTGAGATCCCCACTTTAGTTCAAAGCTGGGGGCAGACATCTGCCATTTCCAGCATCACTAACAAGGTGTGTCCACATGTATACTGCGTGTGCCTGGAGGCTGGACAGGACTCCATCTCGACAACAGCATCAGGAAACCAGGCTAGGGTGGGCTCAGGGCCTCGGTGGTGGGCCCACCTTGGGTACAGCAGAATCAGCCCTCACCCTAGGAGGAAATAACTCTGCTGCCTCTAGAGCTTTCTGGAACCTTCTCTGAAAGGTCACTGCATGGCTGACCCCACCCTGGCCATGCCACCATCCCCCATGCACAGGTCTTCAGTGCTCTTTGCCCATCCTCAGGCCAAGGTGGCATTCACACTGGACAAGGCCCAGCAGACGTTCCTCCCCAGACTCCTGAGAGGCTCCTGCTCAAAGGCACCCCAATGTAAACACACAATGCTCATCAAGTGAGACGCTCGCTCCCCAAATTTACTTGCAGATGAGAGACATGGAAACATTAGCAAATCCAAGTCCGTTAGTCCATAAGGCACTATGTGCAGGAGATGGGCTGAGATGGGAGGGGGCCCAGTGGGGTCCAGGAGCCCCCTCGAGGGGTTTGTTGTTGAGCTGGGGCATGTGGACAAGACTCCCACGTGTCTCCTGGGCCCGGCAGGCTACGTGAAGGCGGGGTCCGCGATGCCGTGATCGGGGTTGCAGGTGAAGGCAATGGTGATAGCATACCGGGTGCCCCAGAGAACCTTCTCCACACGATGCAGATTCTCGGACCCTGAGGTGAAGAAGGAGACCCGGCCTGGGAGAGAGAGCGAGAGCATGGAGGTCACTCAGGGCAAATCGCTGAGGGAATACTCAACACAGCCATCTTCATAGACACACACACGCAGCACGCCCACCAGAGCCCTGGCCGCAGGACACTACCCACGGGATGCCCCAACACAGCCATCTTCACACACACACACAGCACGCCCACCAGAGCCCTGGCCGCAGGACACTGCCCACGGGATGCCCCAACACAGCCATCTTCACACACACACAGCACGCCCACCAGAGCCCTGGCCGCAGGACACTGCCCACTGGATGCCCCAACACAGCCATCTTCACACACACACAGCACGCCCAACAGAGCCCTGGCCGCAGGACACTACCCACGGGATGCCCCAACACAGCCATCTTCACACACACATAGCACACCCACCAGAGCCCTGGCCGCAGGACACTACCCATGGGATGCCCCAACACAGCCATCTTCACAGACACACACACGCAGCACGCCCACCAGAGCCCAGGCTGCAGGACACTGCCCACGGGATGCCACAACACAGCCATCTTCACACACACACACACAGCACGCCCACCAGAGCCCTGGCCGCAGGATGCCACCACGTGATGGCCACTGGCATTGTGCCCCTTCTTCCAGCTCCCAAGTCCCACAATGTAGGTATCTTGTTTCTAATCTCGGCCCCAGAGGGTGATGGCAGCCGAGAGCAGAAAATAAGCTCACTGCCTCAGGGAAAAAGAAGAGAAAATGAGGGAGAAAAGCTGACGACGCCAAGCAAGCGGTCCTGGGAGCTGGGAGCCTGTCCACTGTCTGTTTTAAGAGAATTCCATAGTTTTTTATGGAATTCCAAAGTTTATTTGCTTTCATAGTTAACTGGCCCCGTGCACACCACAGGGTTTCACCACCAGCCCCCAGTGTCTCAGCAAGGACCCCGAGGAACAGTTGGTGCCACACTCCAGCCACGTGGCTCCAAACATTCCCACACAGTCACCGCCCCTCAGCCTGTGACCAGAAACGTGACTTCTTCCATTCTTAGTTGTTTCTGGATCTTTGAAAAGACTGGAAAGTCCACGCAGGTGTGCATCCCGAGTGTGTACAGAACAGGGGCTCTGGGGCTGACGGCCCACCGCTGGCTGCAGGCTGGGGATGTCTGGGAACACAAACTGGCCACCGGCCCCACCAGGCAAGGCTCCTCCAGACAGCAAAGAAATCGTCTCTCCGGGCAATCTGGATCCATGAAACTTTCTAAGGCTCACAAAACGCGCTCTCTTTAGCCCAGTTTCCACCCAACCCGAGACACTGAATCCAGAAGCCAGGCCTGTCTACCTAGCGGGGGCAATGGCTCTGGGCTTTCAGGACCTTGGCCATGCACTTGGCTGCCTTTGCAGTTCTGGGAACACAGGCTTCGGGGGCCTCTTGTGTTCCTGCGTGTCCTGGGCACACCAAAGGACAGAGAAAAATACTGATGAGAAAAACCTCGTGACCAGGGGACAAATGTCTATAGGGTGTGACTGATTCAAGAAACTGAGGTAATAAACAAAGTTGCTAAGTTGGGGGCGATGGGCTGGCAACTACTGTACCACCCAGGTGGCTGCCCATCTAAGAGGGGCAGTACAGAGTGCTGAGTGCTCTGACAGAAAAAGGGAGCTCCTTGTAGGTCAGACACACGTCTGTCACCTGGCCCAGCAATTCCACTCAGAGGGAGTTGCGGTGTAGTGAAGTAATTCATGTCTTTGTGATTTTGTCCTCATGGCTCTGGGTAAGAGAAGATGTTGATGGATTATACGGTTCAGTTGTGAGTGACTTTAACAGGGTTAATTATGATTGTAAAAACTGGAATGAATGTGTATAAAAGGAGTCATCTCAGAGGCGGGAAAGGGGGCCTTACTACACCGAGGAAGAAGAACCATGAGTGGAGGGCATCCTTTGGACCCTGAGATCCCTGCACAATGAACAACCTTGACCCAGAAACAGAAAGCCGGGACCCAGGAACAGGAAGCCAGGACCCAGGAACAGAAAGCTGGGACCCAGAAACAGAAAGCCGGGACACCCAGAGAGCAGCCGAGGATCAGCAGAACCATGAGGCAGAGCTGGGGGCTGCCCAGCCTGTGGAGCAAGGGAAGCTGAGACTTTGGGCAGGAGGTTTGTTGGCAGAGTGAGGTGCCTCCGGGCAAACTTAGAGACCTAAATTTGCTGACCCAAAGAGCTAGTGCCAAATGCCTTCAGGTCGGGGCTGCTGGTGGAGGGATGTGCCCTGTGAGCATTATCAGCAGCCCTAAATAAGCTTTATGTCATTGCCATAGCAGGGTAGAGGCCAGAGAGAGGCCAGCCTGTGGACAAAGCAGAGGAGCGGCTATCCTGACTGGAGATCTGGACCCTGAGCATTTCTGACCCTGCGTTTAACCTGCTCATTTCCCTAGTACACCCCAGCCCTGGGAGTGTGGTATCAAAAGTTCTGTGTGGAATGAATGACCGAGCCCAGAGAGATGGTCAGTGTCAAATGTCTTACAGCAATTCTCCAAGAGAAAGGGAAACACGTCCAAAGACTCATAGTAGCCCAAACTCAAAATTCACATACACGTGAGATGTGCATGGAGACTCTCTGTTAGTCATTCAGGTAGAATGTTGCTCCACTGTGAAAGAGAACCAACTATATAGGCACAAACAAGAATGTGACTGAGTCTCGGAAACTCGATGCTGAACCACAGACGCCAGCCGGCCACGAGAGAGAGTGTTCTGTGCTGTTCTTGCTGCTCCACTCACCCCGTGGCACAGAAAAGGACCACTGAGCGACAGGCACAGAGACCAGGCTCGATGGACCACCCAACAGAAAAGTCAGTCGGTTTCCTGGTCAAGCACAAGTCAAAGCGGTTCCCATACCATGTTCTTGGAGAGCGAGCGAGACCAACAGTGTAGGAATGAATGCCGCAGTGGGTGACCAGGAGACAAAGCGAATCACAATCACCTAGGTTGGAACCTGAGCATTTCTTCCATTTGTATCTGACCTTGAAGCCAAGTAGCCTTCCATTCTTTCATCCATGGACACAAGCCCAGACCAGCTGGACCGGGGCCACAGCACCTACCATATCTGTGGGTGAACCCCATGCACTGATCTTCCAGGGCCGGGTGCCCTGTGCCTTCCTGTGCCCGAGGCCGAGATGGAGACTCATCACACTGTCCACACTTCAACCCTCTCCTCGGGACCATCTCATATGTATGTGCTGAGCCCAGCCACGTGGTCACCAGTCACAAACCCACCAGCTGAGCCTGACACCCTACCTCACTCTTCCCCCCAGCCTCTCGGGTCAGGCTGTCCTCGGGGCTGTGGAGCAAAGCTCTGCATGCAGCATGGGAGACAGTCAATCGTAAGATCACTCCACTCCCGCACATCCTGTCACACTGGAATGAAAGTTCTCTGCCCCCATGAAGGCCACCGGGATAACTCAGAGCTAAAACGCTAATTTGCTTCTAGCGACGTCCTAGAAGAATCAAATGGCCGAATGCTAGTCATCGGAGTCAGAGAGAAATTATCAGTAGATGGACTCAAGTCCCCAGTGGACCACTGACCAGTGACAAGCACTAGCAACTCACCCGATACCATTCTGAGGTGAGGCCCAAAAGTTCCAGAAAGACTTTTAACAGACACATCATCATGTGGATAACATTAGTCATCCAGCTCTGTGAAAAGACAGCGTTTCAATATTGTCAGAAAAAGGGGCTTTCTGCTTTTTCATTTTCTTCAGTGAACAATTAGGCCTCACCTACTTTCTTAAATGGAGTGTGGTAGCTCTGCAGGTCAAGCACTGCACTAGGAACCATAAGGCTGGCAGTTCGAGCCCACCAGCTGCTAGGCAGGAAGATGAGGCTTTCTGTTCCTGCAAAGATTGTCGCTAAGAGTCAGAACCAACTCAATGGCACACCACCACCTTCTTAAAGGCAGCATGGTGGCTCTGTAGGATAAGCACTGGACTGTGAACCATAAGGTTGGCAGTTCAAACCCACTGGCTGCTTTGTGGGAGAAAGATGAGGCTTTCTGCTCCTATAAAGATTTACAGCCTCAGAAACCCTATACGGGCTCGCTAAGAGTCAGAACTGACTCAACAGCACTTAATAACTTGCTTAACGCAGGATTTAACTTGCCAACTAAATCATAAAAAACACTGAAATGATCTCAGTTTTCAAAGTCTTCTCTCTAACAAGCGCCTAGGGACCCCTCCCCAGAGCACGACATGGGTCAGAAGTCTGGACACTGAAGTGTCACTGGTTCCTGGTCCATCTCATTCTTGTCATTTTTTGTTGAAAGCCGGATGTAATGAACTGGGGAAAAGACATGAAACGGGTACGTAGTACAAGGCTTTATGTTTATCTGGCTACACGTTAGAACGTGTCTCTGTTTGCTGTAACTCTGGTGTTGAGACCAAACCAAACCCATGGTCATCGAGTCGGTCCCGACACAGAGCGGCTCTGCATGGGGTTTCCGAGGCTGTAAATCTCTGCGGGAGCAGAGCAGCTGGGAAGCTTCTACCCACTGGGCTTTGGTGAAGATTGAGTCCCTCAGCACACACCCTTTAAGAGGAAGACAGACTTTTGGTTACTTTTCCCTCCCTCTGCCAGAAACACAAAAGATTTTCTTAGAACTTCACAGTGAGTACCTGGTGCGGGTCCTGGAAGTAAATTTCACAGAAATCTAGGACCCCTTTAAGACTCCCTTTCCCTGTTTTTAACTCTGAAGCTAGTCCATAGCCAGCCTCCAGTAGCTCAGCAGTTAGAGTTGAAGTGCTCCTACATCCAGCCCCAGCACCCACTATCCAGGCAGGCTGTGGCTCTTTGTAACCACCTGTCTCTGCTGTTTGCGGGGCCTGTGACCTCAACCTTTTCCTGGCTCCGAGGAGAGTTAGTGAATGTCTGCTAACTCAGCTTTCTTCTTGTGAGGAAGGAGTGAAGACTTCTGATCTCTTTAGACATTGAACCAGAAACCAGAATCCCGTCTGATTCTTGAACTTATGCTGTGTCCACAGAAAGATGGCTGGGAGTGGAGGACTGTGGGTAAAGTCTACCTCAGCAGGTATGACTATCCAAACCCTGCCCGTTCCAAAGGAAGATTTGGCCAGAACCTCGAAGGCGCTCGAAGTCCTTGGGATACTCTGCCCATGGAGAATGTGTGTGCTCACCTGAGACCACATGCTCTATGCCAACAGTAGGACTTACCATGAGGGCCCCAGCTCACAGAGCGTAAGTTAACCGCTGAAGGGGCTATACACTAAGGCCAGTCACGTGGGTGGTTGGCCATGCCTACAGGAAACTCTGGACACCAAGGCTCAGGTGAGCTTCCGTGGTTGGGAAGACTGCGTGTTGTGAGGCATGCTTCCTGGAGAACGAAGCCTTCTGTCCCTCTCTTGTCTCTTGTTTTATGAGGATTAGAACCCACCTTCTCCAGCATACTGATTCCATCTGCATGGACCCTATTTCCAAGTAAGGTCATGTTGACAGGTGCATGGGTTAGAGCTCAGACAGCTTTTGGAAAGGCACAATCCAACCCATAACATCGTCACTCGTGCACTCAGAGTGAAAGCGCCGCCATGTGCCCACCACCAGGACTGCATGTGTACAATCATCTCACATCTCTGCAGCCCCCAGCCCACCCTACCAGCTCGAGGTTCCACCGTCTTGTTGGCTCCCTCCTCCATGAACACAAATCGTCCTCCGCCAAAGTCCTCCAGGTAGTTGGACAGGTAGAGCAGTGAGGTGTAGTCAAAGGAGCCGTAGGTCACCTAGGGGAGAGTCAGGAGGGAGCGGGTCAACAGGTGATGTTGTGCACGAGGATCATGGCTCTTGATGCAGAGACAGAAGACTCCCTGCTTCTAGATAAGGCACTTTCTGAAGGTTGGTAAACAGAATGGCCTCATCAATCAGCCACCACTGCCCCCATGCTCTCAAAAGCTCCTCCCAGCCACAGAGCTTCACGCCATTAATACACCTGCACAGCTAGCACACCTTCCAGCCACAATCACGTGACAGGTACAGGAAGCCAGAGCCAAGAGGTCCACATCGTTCAGATCAACACAGGGAGCCCAAAGCAGTGGTGAGACGTGGACAGCCTGGCGTGGCATCCCTCACTCCTGCTCGACCACAGGGCCCCTTCCTTGGCTCCGGGGGTTTCTGGGGAGCCCACAGCAAGACAGAACTCAAGTGGAAAAACTGCAGGATGCAGACCCAATGGAGAACACACTTCCTCCGTGTGAAGAGGAGAGAAACCACACGAGGGATCTAAGGTGCCGTGTGTCTCCTTATTTTACGTGATCTCTCACTGCCGTGGGTTGATGCCTAATCGCAGCAACCCTGTAAGGCAGGTAGGACACACCTGCAGGGCTCCTGCGACTGCAGAGCTTGACGGGAGCACACTGCCGCGTCTGCCTTCCTCAGAGCGGTGGATGGGTTTGAACCATTGACCTAGCAGTTCTTATGCTTAACCCACTGCACCACCTGGGATCATTTAATGTAGTAGAAAATAAAAACAATTGCCGATTTGAAAGTGTGATCATTTTTAGTGAATAGAATATAGCGTCTTTCTGCGTTTGTTTTCACACATAGAGAAATGCAAGATGGTGCTCTAAAATCTCAGAATAGCAGGTAACCGGTTGGAGGAGGTGGCTACTGGGAGAAAATATGGATTAAAAATATTTTTTATTAAAAAAATTTATTTTTAATATTGTGATTTGGATGAAAGTTTACAGAACAAATCGGTTTTCCATTCAACGACATGCACACTTTGTTTCGTGATGTTGGCGGCGCTCCTCCCAATGGAAGGGCCCTCTTCCACTTCCTCCCTGCGTTCCCCACTTCCATTCCTCTTCCGATCCTTCCTGCCTGCCTCTCACCCTGGGCTTCTTGTTCCAGACTTGAAGCGTGTTTAGGAGCCATAGTCTTAGGGGTGGAAGACACACTTCGTACTATTTGCCTTTTTGAATGTACTTTTTCATTTTTTAACCTTGTAAAATGCATGATATATTCAAAACAAAAGTGTTTAAATGAAGTACACTAGCTAGCAATGAGAGCACAACAGGAAGCCACCCAGGCCTTTGGCTAGTTCTGTTGACTGAAGCCAACCTCTGCTAATTAGACAAGCACATAGCGTGGGCTGCTGCCTTCTCCCAGAAGTCCAAGGAAGAGCCGCTCCCCTCACCCTGCCTAACGAGCTTGTCCTGTGCTGCCTGAACGTAGAGAGTCATGTTCAAAACTGAAAGAGAAGACCATGCCCAGCAAGAACAGCTGTTGGCACTGAGAAGGTAATGCTTTCAAGAGCAAAGTGTCCGGGCACCAAGACGCTGCCAACATTCACATCATCCCCAAAGAAGATATGAGGTTTAACATTCATCTCAAACCCCCCTGGGTCCCTTCCCTTAAGGCCAGAGGAACATTAGAGGGCCACGGCAGAGCTAGGACTGGGGTGGTGCTGTAGAATCAGCACTGGACAGCGAACCACAGATCGGCAGTTCAAACCCATCAGCTGCTCCTCGGAAACCCTACCTAGGGTGGCTATGAGTCGGAATTGACTCGATGGCACTTCACAATAACAAAACAGAGCAAGCCAACTGTAGAATTGCCACGGATAAAAAACAGAAGTTTGCAAAAGGACATAAAACGCAGCGATCCGAGCACTCAGCAACGCCAACACCAGCAGGCAGGTGAGGGACTATGGACATCTACACTCGAACACAGGAGACCTCGAAGATTCCACACATTCAGTTCCAGACCACCATAATAAAGCCAGTACCGCAAGAAAGCAAGTGGATTTGGGAAGGTTCCCAATGCCTATAAAGCCATATTTACATTATACTATAGTCTCGTAGTGGTTACGAGATCGGGCTGCTAATCTCACACTCAGCAGTTCGAAACTACCAGCTGTTCTGTGGGAGAAAGATGAGGCTTTCTGCTCCTGTAAAGATTTACAGCCTCAGAAACCCTGTACAGGGTCGCTATGAGTCGGAACCGACTCCATGGCACATAACGACAATAACAACAACATAGACTATTAAGTGTGCAATAACATTATGAAAAAAAGGTGGCGTAGTGGTTACGAATCGGGCTGCGAACCTTAAGGCAGCGGTTCGAAACTACCAGCCGCTCCGCGGGAGAAAGATGAGGCTTTCTACTCCCGTAAGGATTTACACCCTCGGAAACCCTGTACAGGGTCGCTATGGGTCGGAACCGACTCGACGGCACTTAACAACAACAACATTGTAAGAATTACCAAAATGACAAATTTACACAGAGACATGAAGTGTCGGACGCATGATTTCCACGGCCCTTCAGTTTGTAAAACTGCGTTATCTGAGAAGCACAGTCAGATGAGGTATACCTGTAGTAACCAGAGTTTTGTGGCGGGTCCCCATGGGCCCAGCTCTGGTTACGTAGTGGCTACCAGTCGGGTTGCTAACTTCAAGGTCAGCAGTTTGAAACTACCAGTTGTTCAACCAGAGAAAGATAAGGCTTTCTGCTCCCGTAAAGATATACAGCCTCAGAAACCCAATACAGGGTCGCTGTGAGTCAGCACACCACCACCACCAACCACCACCGTGGACCCAGATGGGTAACTGCCCAGCAATGTGGACAGCAAACCTCTAGCAGGACCTGTGGTCCCCCAGCCGTGCCACAACCAAGGAGCTGTCCTGCCACACAGGCAGTGGGGTAGACATTGGAAAGGGACCTGAAAAGGGACCCTGTTCTCTAGAAATGGCAGGGGGATGGCCCATGGATGCTCCACCACACAGAATGTGGTGTCTTCCACACAGAATTCAAACAGCTCGTGGATCTACACCTGGACCAGAGAGTCTGGGAGGTGGACGGGCAGTGGGAGCTGTTGGCCATTTGCCCCAAAACACACAAAAGCCACTGTGTGACCAGGTCTCCAAGAACCCACCTGACACCTTAAAACAAGTGTGGGCTGGGTCCCCTGTAAGGGGCATCTTGACCATTACATATTACACATCCTCTTACAGCTGGAAGACTATCAACACATCCCCTACACACTCACCCAGAGCAAACATCAGCATTCCCAGTAACTGCTTAGCTAGACATGGCCCACCCCACAGCTCTGTCCATCCCAGTGGGGTGGGAGAAGGGTCCTTTTTCTTCAGCACAACCGCACCATCTCCCTGTGTCAGGTGTGGATAGAGACCCACCGGCCACAGGGTACCAGGACCCACTATTAAAGCTGATACCCCTCTGTCTCTTCTTTATGCTTTCTGTATGTCCTATATGTCATTTTGTTCCTTTATTCTTTCATTATTGTCCTTTTTCTTGGGTAGATCTTTTCTAGTGTGCCCTTTTACTTTCCTTTCCATTTACTGCATTTATTTTCCTATATTTTTGGAGTTACCATCTTAGTGATTGCACTGTGGGTTACAATTAACACTTTATTTTATAACCATATTATTACTGCTGTTAAATGCAGTCGAGTCGGTTCTGACTTTATAGCGACAAATATAGGGTTTCCAAGAAGTGGCTGGTGGGTTTGAACTGCCAACTCTGTGGCTAGCAGTTCAGTGCTTATCCTATAGTGCCACACCAGGATTTCTTATAACAATATAGTTAGGATATCAATTTAGTTTCAATAACATACAAAACATTAATCCTATAGAGCTCCATTCCTTCCTGATGGCTTTGTTCTATTAATATCACACAAAAGACATTTCTTTATGCTGTGTGACTATGTTGTTGTTGTTGTTAACTGCCGTCGGGTACGTTCCGACCCATAGCGACCCTGTATAGGGTTTCCGAGGAGCAGCTGGCGAGCTTGAACTGCCGGCCTTGCAGTTCAAACGGCTTTGTAGCCTGGCGCATTAGCCCACAGCGCCACACCAGGACTCCTTGTATGTCTATAACACAGAATTATTGTTCTATACAGCTGTCCTTTAAATCAGATAGAAAAAAAAGAAAAGAGATGCAAATTTTAAAAGACATCTATCCTGCCCTTTGCTTTTACCTACACTGTTACTAACAGGTAGCATCGAGTTCACTGCAATTCAGCAAGCCTGGGTCCAACTGAACGAGACTCCAGCTGGCGCTGGGCCATCCTCACATCCTTGCTAGGCCTGAGTCCATGGTTACAACCACTGTGTTCATCGGTATCACTAAGGGTCGTCCGCATTTGTTGCTAACCCTCTAATTTACCAAGCATGATATCCTTCTCCAGGGATTGGCTCCTGCTGATCACATGCCCAAAGTACATGAGATAAAGCCTCACCCTCCTCGCTTCTACGGAACACTCTGGTTGGACTTCTTTTAAGACAGGTTAGTTCAGTTTTCTGGCAGGCCATGGTACATTGAACAATCTCTGCCAACACCATAATTCAAAGACAATATTTCTTCTCTGTTCTTCCTTATTCGTTATCCAGCTTTCACATGAAAATGTCATGGTTTGAGTCAGGCGCACCTTATTCCTCACAGCGACATCTTTTCTTAATACCTTAAAGAGATCGTTTGCAATACATTTGCTGATGCAGATGTTGTTTGATTTCTTCACTGCTGCCTCCATGGGTAGTGATTCTGGATCCAACCCAATGACACCAAACAGCATGTTGCTCAATATTTTGCCCACAGACCCTTCAATGTTGAATTTAAGACTTTAACTTTTCCTTCAGTTGCTTTAGCTTGAGAAATGCTGACCATGTTCGTCCCTCTTGATTTTCTAGATCTAGGTTTTGCACATATCATTGTAACATTTTGTCTTCTCGAAGTGCCCTTGGAAGCCCTCTGTGCAGTTCATTTACTTCATCATTTCTTCCAGTTGCTTTTGTTACTCTGCAGTTGAGGGCCAGCTTTCAGAGCCTCTTCTGGCATCGACTTTGCTCATTTGTTTTTCTGATCTTTTTCTTCCTTCATGCATAATGTCCTCGATGTCACTTCACAACTCATTCATTTTCGGTCATTAGTGTTCAAGGCATCAAATCTAGTCATGAGATGGTCTCTGAATTTAGGTGGGATGTACTCAAGGTGGTACTCTGGCTCTTGTGGATTTGTTTGAGGTTTCTTCAGTTTCAACTTGAACTTGACGATGAGCAAGTTCAAATACTCTACTGGGGCTCTGCGCTTCCACGTGTGGATTTGAGTCATTGTCTAGTACCTTCCATTCCAGCCTGAGGCTGACTCTTTTCAGTTATTTGGGTGTTTGGGGTCGGGCAGATTTGCTAGCGAAAAATTCTCTCAACTTTTATTTGGAAAAAGTCTTCATTTTTCTTTCATTTAAAAATCTTTTTTAAAATTGCAATGTAACTAATATACCCTAAAATTCACCATTTTTAAGCACAATTCAGTGATTCTTTAGTATAGTCACAAGGTTCTGTTACCATCAGCACTACCTAATTCGAGACGGTTTTCATCATCCAAAAAGAAGCCCCATACTTCTCTGCCTCCCTGGCAGCCACTCGTTTTCTATCTCTATGGATTTGTCTGCTCCAGACAGTTCGTGTTGGGGACTCATCCACGACCTGGCCTCTGGTGTCTGACTCCTTCCACTTAGGTTAATGCTGTCGAGGCTCAGATGTGGCAATAATTCACCCATCTTTATGGCAGACTAATTTCCCACTACACAGCTATGTCACATTTTGTTTACAGGGTCGCTATGGGTCGGAACCGACTTGACGGCACTTAACAACAACAACAATCCATTCAATAATGAACATTTGGCTGTTTCTACTTTGGGACAATTTTGAATAATACAGTTATGAACATTCATGGACAAGATTTCTCAAATCTATTAACTATAATTATGTTCTCACACGTATTGGACACCTAGTTGCTTGTTCACACAGTCATTTTATGTCTAACTTTTTAAGGAAATGCCAAAAAGTTTCCACAGCAGCTGAACCATTTATCATCCCTACTAGTCATGCACGAGGTGTCTCGCTTTCATTTCTGAAGGATACTTAAGCGGGAAATAGAATTCTTATGGACAGGTTGGTCGGTTGGTGTCTTTTAATATTTTGAATATGGCATTGTATTGCTTTTTGGCCTCTAGTTTCTGATAAGAATCAGATATGAGTCTTGTTGAGGACAATCTGTACGTGACAAATCGCTTATCTCTTGCTGCTTGCAAGATTGTCTTTTATCTCCAATAGTTTATGATACACTTAGGTGTTGGTCTCTAGGTTGATCCTAATTTGAGTTAATTTAGCTCCTCGGATGGGGAGATCAATGTTTATTAAATTTGGGGAGTTTTCAGCTGTTAATTTTTCAAATATTCCTTCTGTCTCTTTCTGTCCTCTCCTTCTGAGTCTCCCATGGTGCAGTTAGTGCACTTGATAGTACGTGAGAGACCTCTGAGGCGCTCGCTGTTCATTTTCCTTCGTTACTTTATCTCTGTTCTTCACCCTGGACAACCACTGACGTTTCCTTCTGCTTGTTTAAATTTGTTATGGAGCTGTGTAGTGAGTTTTTCATTTCAGTTATTGTACTTTACAAGTCCAGAACTTCTGTTTGTATCTTCTGATGCTTTGCATCATCTTAGTGATGTTCTTAATTTGGCGGGACATTGCTCTCATACTTTCATTTACTTCTTAGATAGAGTTTCCTTTAGTTCTTAGAATAGATATATTTAAAACAGCTGTGGTGAGACACGTCTTTGACTTGAAGAAATTGTAAGTGGAGGATTCACATTAGATGTAGCACCAAATGGCAGCAAAGTGGTCACTACTATCCCAGTGGCCAAGAGAGAGGGGTCCAAGTCCAGCAGCTGGCCATGGAAGACAAGAACTCCCTAAGGAAGGAGAAATTCCTACACTGCAGCTTGGGGGAAGGGTGGACGAGAACCCCTGAAATCAAGCAGCTACTGCATGGTCCAGATGTATCCCCAAAGCATGTCTCCTAATCATATGCCCAGTGTGCTGCTGGGCTGCCCACCCAACCCTTCTTCCCTAGCAGTGTCCCGTTGTCCCAGGAGTACATTTTCCCTATTTTGATCAAATAAAGATGTGGAGAAGTACACACTGCTTTAAAGAAAGGCGCTCTAGGGTCCTCTTTGTGCAGACGCCCTTCTGGAGGAGATGGGGTGCAGTGGGAAGCCATGGACCATGGATGGCAGCCGCGGTCCAGGTTCACCGAGCATGGAGTCTCTGACAATTAAACCCTCTAGGTCAGAACCCCAGAACCTGAGCAGGAAGCAGCTATTGTGTTTGTTCCCTAAAAAGGTTTCCTTAAAAGTCACGGAGGGGAGGAGGTCCATGAACAACCATTTGTAAACGTGGCATCCGGGGGTCTTCAAAACATCCTGCAGCTAAGGGGTGGTATGTGAAGAAGCTGTTTCAAATGTGATACTTTTTAAGGTTGATTTCGCATCAAGTGGAGACAGCTGAAGTGGACTTCATGTCGGCAGCCCGCAAAGGAGGGGTTTCCAACAGGCATCAAGTAAGAGCAGCCACACAGACCAATGTCCCATCCAAGAAACGAGGGAGGGCGACACCCTGTTCCTGTGCAGACAATAGTGTGCACACAGAAACACGCTTCAGGTTAATGAATCACTGAGTCAGTAAATCTGAGCTCAGAGATAAAGAATAATGAGGTTCCCGAGGGCTGCTGCGATCCTACCACCCCGTGTGCAATCCCCCCTGGGGGGGCGGGGTGTGCTGGGAGGGAGAAAGGACATTCTCGAGGGGAGGTCTGAGGCAGAGGCAGGGTGGGAGGGAAAACTCCGGGGGAACCATCTGTCCAGCAGCATCCAGCACTCGGTGGGGACATCGCTGGCATGGAAGGACAGGTGGGTGGGGACAGTGTGCTGCTCCGTGATGATTCAACTTCACTAAGGTGCCCCTGGGCTGCATCCACCTGATTACCACCAGATGGGTCTGGCTGTACAGACTTGCGCTAATCCCACTCACCCTGGCACCTTCCCGCCAGCAGGAAGCCCCTGGAGCTCGCTTTTCCCACCCAGACGCAGTCCAGAGCAGAATTCTGATCGGCAACCACTAGTCTAAAGCCGTCTAAAGCCGTGCTCAGTCGTCTGTTCGCTGGAAGCTCTCCTGCTATTTTCACATCCACTCCTCTCAGTCTGGCATCAAGACACACAGGAGTTCCCTGTGTGGTCTCTGCATGCCTACAGTTCAGTGACCCACAAACCCCTGGGGCCCATGCATCCCTAGGGCCAATCTCCTTGATGTTCCAGGCACCACGCTGGGGACGCTGACCATGGCTTTGCTAGAGCAAATGCCAGTGGGGACAGGGTACAATTAGGGGACAATCAATCAAGATCATCGATTAGGGTGCCTGTAGCTTGAGGAACAACAAGAGATCAAGAGTGGACACATACAGCTCGGTGGGAGTCAGAGAGATCGAGAAATGGTCCCTGTGGGCACAGCCTGAGCAGCCCACCAGTCGGGAGGTGAGAGGAGTAAAAATAAAAGTGGGGACACTGTCCTGGGAAAAGGCAGGACGTGGGCCAAGGGAGTGGGCTGGCAGCCATACACGAGTGGCCACTGGTCCCGCATGGCCCCCTCAGCCCTCAGGGGCATCAAGCATGACTGTATGGACAGACAAGGGCAGCAACCACGGATGGCAGTTGTTACGTGACCTCTACTCGGGACTGTTTCTCGCAATCACCACAGAACATTGAGCTCACTTTCTCACTGGCACCAACCAGATTTAGGGAGCACTCCTAAAACACTAAACACTGCCAAGGAGGTGGTCTTAAACGGACATTCGACACAGGGGCTGTGGCTGCTCCTGCCCCACGAGCACACAGGCAGCCCAGCTGGCCCCGGCCCCCACCTTGTCGACATGAGCATGCCAGTACTCATCATGCGCCGTCTGGGCCTGCGTGCTGTTGATCCGGGAGAAGAAGGTGGGCTTCGTCAGGTGCAGTGAGGACGCACTGATGCCAAAGGCTTCGGCGATGGCCAGCTGGACCTTCTGCCGCACATCTCTGCAGTTAAAGGACACGTGTCTCATGTAGGGCAGCACTGCCCAGAGGACAGCCTCCTACACCGTCCCCACAGGACTCTGGGTGCCCACACCAAGCAAGGAAATGAAGAAACTGGAGCAAGTCAGCAAGGTGAAGGGGCATGCAGGTATTCATGCACACGTACATGTACCTATACACACACACCCGTATACCTACACATGCATGCTCGTATACATATATACGCTCATATACATATATTCACACGCACATATACACACATGCTCATATACATGTATACATACTGGTGCATGTGCACACATTCATGCACATATATACACATATACACACTCACATATATACATACACACAGGCACCTGTATATATGCACACACATACACCCTCATGTACACAATCACATACGATAAATACATAAACTCATGCAGGCACATATACACATTCACCTGCATACACACATACACATATGCAGGCATGTGTACATATATTAATAACATACACACATATACACATACCTACAGGGACTGTACCTATACACACAAATGCACATACACACATACCTATGCACACACATTCACACACATATGCACACATAACACACATAAGGCACATATATATCTGCATACACACACATGGCATCCTCACACACATGGAATATTACACGTGTGACTAGGAACCTGATAGCCATGTTGTTTGTAGACATGATGACAAACTAAGTGTTTACTGACGTGAACTGTACCTATGTACATATGGACCTATCACATACACCTACCTGCCTACATGCATACGTGTGTACATACACAGCACACACATGCACACATCCCTACACCATGCTCTGTCTGCACACTCACCTACCTACATCAGGGCTCCAAAATGGCTGAAGCCAATTCCGTCATGGTCAAGAAGTACAAGCAGAACAGATTTGAATGTTTACACTGTGGGTGGCTGGGAATGCTGATGGGTGGGGAAATGATAGACAGAGACCCTGTAATGGGAGACTTGGAAGCGGCTCAGCAAACTCTTTCAGGAGTCTGGATGATTGGCAGGACTGTGGCGAGGGGCCCATTCAAAGCAATGTGGTGGCCACCATCTTCGAGCTTTTTCAACTCTGTTAGTCAAGAAATTTGGTTGCTACACAACACACCCACACTGCCCTTGGTTTACTACGTTTCTACAACCATACTTTTCCCCCTTCTGGTTAGGGTTCCAGTTCACTTACATTTAAAATGTGCTTCTGGTCCAGTGTTGAATTAGGATGAACCAGCTCCAAGTCCTCACCTACAGAGACAGCTGTGTACACATGCAGGGAATCTGTCATCAGCTAAATCCTAACACCATGTGCCAAGTGATGCAGCTGGAGCACCACTGTCCATTGTCATCTGCACATTTCTATACCACCGGTCATCTCCATTCTGGCTCCGTACTAGGGCTCTACTGAGCCTCATGGATGCCTCAGTGGCCCCCTTAAAATGCTGGACACCAGAGGACCTTGTGTTCTCAGAAAGTAGAACTTCTGTCTTAACAGAATTATTAACATTAACAGGTAATGTTCAGGCAATTCCTGCAGGACATGCCTAACCATCCCACACGGCAGGTGGTATGCGTGGATTCATGAACTCTATCGTCAAACAAGTCGTAAAAATGGATTACTGGAATGTCGGATTACTTAGTTGGCTGAATTTTGACTTTTGTTCATTTTTAAACTTGGAAGTTTTGCATACAGCAAATTGCTAAATTTGGGAGTTCAAGAAACTGAAAGACCCTAAAAGCTACCCTTAAAAGTAACTGTTATCAGAGAGGAAATGCATGTTCCTGTCACATACTGATAAAAGAGCTAAATGGGAAATTTCAAAGAACAGCTCGAGAAGACAAAGTCAAATATTATAACAAAATGTGCAAAGACCTGGAGTTAGAAGACCAAAGGGAAGAACACACTCAGCACTTCTCAAACTGAGGGAATTAAAGAAAAAATTCAAGCTTCAACTTGAAATATTGAAGGATTTTATGGGCACAATACTGAGTAATGCAGAAAGCATCAAAAGAAGATGGAAGGAATACACAGAGTCACTGTACCAAAAGGAAATGGTCGATGTTCAACCATTTCAAGAGGTAGCATATGATCAAGAGCCAATGATACTGAAGGAGGAAGTCCAAGGTGCACTGAAGGAATTGGCAAAGAACAAGGCATCGAGAATTGATGGAATAAAAATTGAAATCTTTCAACAAAGTGAGGCAGCACTGGAGACACTCGCTCATCTATATGCCAAGAAATTTGGAGACAACTGCCTGACCAACTGACTGGAAGAGATCCATATTTGTGTCCATTCCAAAGAGAAGGGACCCAACAGAATGTGGAAGATGTATCATACGAGTAAAATTTTGCTAACGATAATCCAAAAACAGCTGTAAACATACATTGACAGAGAACTGCCACAGGTTCAAGTTGGATTCAAACAAGGACACAACAAACTGTGTCATTGCTGATGTCAGATGAATTTTGGCTGAAAGCAAAGAATACCAGAAAGATGTGTTTACCTGTGCTTTATTGACTATGCAAAGGCTTCTGACTGTGTGGATGATGACAAGCTATGGACAACATCGTGCAGAATAAGTATTTCGGAACACTTAATTGTGTTCATGAGGAACCTGAACATAAACAAAAGGCAGTTGTTTGAACAGAACTAGGGAACACTGAGTATTTAGTTTTAAAATTAGCAAAGGTGTACACCAGGGTTGTATTCTTTCACCATACTTATTCAATCTGTATGTTGAGCAAATAATCTGAGAAGCTGGGTTCTATGAAGAAAAATGTGGCATCAGGATTGGAGGAAGACTCATTAACAACCTGAGGTATGCTGATGGTACAACCTTGCTTGCTGCCCTGTGGTCACAATCAGCCGTGAGAAAAGACTGGCTGCGATTTGGGTTCACATTTTCTCCAATCCTCCGAGAACCACTGTTGTTGTTGTTAGCTGTTGTGAAGTTCTGTAGAGTTGGTTCCGACTCATAGTGACCCTATACTGGGTTTCTGAGGAGCAGTTAGTGGGTTTGAACTACTGACCTTGTGGTTCACAGTCCAGTGCCTGTCCTACAGCACCACACCTGGGCTTCCCCAGAACTAACTACTTAGCATCAGATAAAAACATCCGCAGCTCCCAGAAACCAGAAACTCCGATTTCCTGCCGTTTCAAGCCCTTCAAATGCTGATTAGTGGCGCTCTTCCCAATCCCATTTTCCTTGTCTATAATTACACATCTTCTTGATTTGAACGCTACACTTGAGTAACACAAGATCACCATCCTGGTGAAATCGCCATCCTGGTGTAACCTGGTGAAGGTTACAGCATTTTTAACCTTCAATTCTCCTTCCAGTGTGCCCGTTTGCATGAACAGTGTCTAGCTGGCAGTGGTGAGTACACCCATCAGCCAGCTTGGTTTTCACTGCAGGCAACAGGCTGTCCTGATTTGTCCGGATTCTGCACAGGGCTCCGTGTAAGCCCGGAAGGTAGTCCAGACTACAGGGGTTTCTAGCTGTGGTCTCTCCTTCCTGGTGCTCATCTGACCTCAGTTTCGAGCACTGCACGCTCTCGCCTGCTGCACACTGAACAACAAGGCCTCTGAGACTGGATTTCCCCACCGCTGAAGTCACAGAGGAGGTCACTCTAGCACTTGGTACTGAGGCATCTGCGACAATTACGCTAAATCCATGAGCTGGCCTAGGGTGTGGGTTAATGCTCAGGGACTGGCCTAGGGTGTGGGTTAATGCTCGGGGGCTGGCCTAGGGTGTGGGTTAATGCTCGGGGCGGCAAGGTCGCTTTAAACCAAAAGGTCGGCAGTTTGAGCTCACCAGCTGTTCCTTGGAAACCCTATCCAGGGTCACTATAGCCCGATGGCTCAGGACTCAAGGTCCCTCAATGCCAACACCATCCCACCCCCATCCCAGTCCATCTGGAAACGGGTGGTCTGTGTTCAGTTAATGAGGCAGAATTAGTATGGGGTGTGTCTACAGTCCCTCTCCATTTCTAGTTTTAGGCATTATTGTGGTTGTTAAGTGCCAGCAAATGGGCTCTGACTCATAGTGACCCTGGATAGGTTTTCCAAGGCGTGGATGATGAGTTTGAACTGCAGACCTTATGGTTTAAATGGACCTTTTGATTCAGTGTTTATCCTGTATCACCACACCAGGACGAGATCAAACAAGCCAGAGATGGGGAAAGAGAAGCCAAGACACACAGAGATCTCTGAGGAACCAGGAACCAAAGCTGAAGGAGACGAGGACCTTTCCCCAGCGGCCACGGAGTCAGCCTTTCCAGAGAGCCTGTGCTCTGATTTCCGACTTTCAGTCTCCAAAGCTGAGAAAACACCTTTCTGTCTGTGAAAGTTCCTCACTATGATATTTCTAATCAGCTGTACTAGAACTAAGACAGGCACAAAGAGTTAAAGAGCTTTCCGTCTTCCCTCGGGACCAGTGACCTGGGGTTCACGCTCCAGCTCTGTTTCTTCAGAAGCCTTGATAAAGGTGATATGTCTGCTGTGTTTCCAGGCAATAATGACGTTTACAGTTCAAATGACCATTGGCAGTTAGGGGGAGGGGCTGTGAAAGGCAACACCCAGGAATGCTAGTGGTGATGGAACAGTGTACATCTTGACTGTGCTGGGGGAGGACAAAAGTGCACAGAACTTCACACATACACGCACACATACACACGCCTGTACACACATGCATACACATGTGTATACACACACATGCCTGTACACACATGCATACACGTGTGCACACATACCAACACCAGCAGGCAGGCATGTGCACACTCACGCATGTCAGCAGGCACACATACACACCTGTACACACATGCATACACATGTTCATACCCACACCAGCAGGCATGCATGTGCACACTCACACATGTCCGCAGGCACACATACACACCTGCACGCACTCACGCATGTCCACAGACATGCATACACATGTGAATACACACACCCACACCAGCAGGCATGCATGTGCACACTCACACATGTCCACAGGCACACATACACACCTGCACACACATGTGCATACACACACC